ATCGGTGCGGCATTTTGGAGGGTTGATTTTAGTCTTGAATATGTAAATAGTCTTTAGAAGTACTAGACATGTACGGGTATCGCATAATTCCTTTAAAATACTTCAAATTAGGAATTTTACTCACTATTTCTATAAATATCTTTTCTATATATCACGAAAAAACGAGTCGTCATTTTAACATTCGAACGCGGATATTTCTAGACAAACATGGATTTGAAGGCTCAAATTTCGATGGTGAGTTGTGGACACAATTACTGGTGGGCTTAGCTAAAAAAAGATTGGTCAAAAAAATGAAGCATCTGTCCCTTTAAATAAAAATCCGTAAAAGCAATACAAATCTCGTCCAAAGTATGGCAAAATCGAGAGTAAAAGTTGTATAGTAGTCGACTGATCCAAAGAAAACTACCATCAGATGTTTCGAAAAAAGCAAGCGTGATGTGCTTCGATCGAAACTGCTATTATAGGTCAACATCGTTCCATGATATGTGGGTGATATAGAACCTCTTGTTTTCAAAAGGTGCCAAGAAAATTATGCTTTTGTTAAAACCGGGATATTTAACGGCGTGTTGATTGCATCTTTAATACCTTGTCTAGTAGACCATTCTGGTGTTAGATATTTCTATTGTACGCCAGATAGATGGATACATACCATTGTTGATTAGTAAGCAATATATTCATCATAGTAATATTTATCCCAAGTGTTTGGTATTGGCTATATATATTCATAAATTTCAAAGGCCAAAGATTAAAGCTTTCAACATGTGTATGTTTGTTCTATGATCTACGAGATTGCCCTCGTACAAATGTAGATAAAGTTAACTCGAAAGATTAATGCATTATTTGGTTCTGTTAAATACACTATACATTCCGAAAAGTGTCAAAATTGTTATTAAACATTGGTTAGTTTATGTACCATCTAAATATTTAATGGAAAATAAACAGCATGAAATATTTCTGGAAGTCTTTAATTAGCAGTAAATTATGCGTTTTACAGTGCGTTACTATACTGATGTTATCATTTGAAAAAAGTCGAAATTATTAAAATACACATTCAAGGTTGAAATTAGAATATGTTTTTCCTTGTTGGCGATCACTTTTAAGAAATCTATTTTTATGATTTTATAATTTGATTGCTCGCTGTATTCAAATTACATTTAATTATTGTAATAGGTGACGGTAGCGAGATCTGGTATACTCCTCTTGAAATCATCTCCTGTCCTATTGTGCACAGTGGTTACTAAACTAGGCTTTCTTTTTGGAGAGTCTTTGTGCATGATATTGATTATTAAATACTAACTGCTGTTGATGAGGTATAAGAGGGTGAAAGCCTACACCGTGCCGACTCACGAAAGCACTGGCACAGACATATGAATTTTTCGAACCTTCAGGAGGATTCGAACTCACGGCACCTAATAATCTTTCAAATCCAATCCAATCCACTCCAACGAGCTACCGACTGACCTATTCCGCTGCCACAAAAGGACAGTGTTCCAACCAGCGTTAGAGGGAAGTATTGACTTTTACACAGTTCGAAAGGTGTTTACCCCCTCAAGGGGATAGTCATATAGCCTGCCATGGACAAGGATAGGTATCAAAGGGTGAAAGCCGACACCGACTCAAGGAAGCACTGGCACAGGCATCATAATTTGTCTTGACGAGAATTCGAACCCACGGCTCCTGGTGTAGCTCGATGTTCTGAAAAGATTCAGATTGACTTAGAGTTTTGAAATTAATTACATATTTGACAAAGTGATGCGACTTCAACTCGTACCATACAGACATTTGAACATTAAATACTTTACTGACAGATAAAAACTAATCCAGTTATTTTGAATATCTGTAAACAATTTTTTTTTAGTCACATTGAGATTTAAAATTTATTTTTGTCTAAAAGTTGTTAAGTCTAGCGGCGACATATGTTAAACGGTATAGACATGTCGTAAGATATTTACCAACAAATGAAATCTTTTTTTTTAAATTCTGATGAAAGAAATCATATATGAAAAATAAAACGATGAAACGACTGATAATATATTAGTAGTTCTTTTTTGATTTTCATTTCATTACATATGTGAGATTCCAAATAATATACATATACAGTTTACATCCATCCATTTCTACATGGATCACATTTCCTTACTTCAGCGCTCAGTTGGCTGCACTGTACATAAATTTTATCGATCACGTCTTATCAAGGCAGGGTTGAAAATATAGCGATCAAGTCACTTCGAATGTAACCTAAAATCCTAATACAATGTTGTAATTCTCAGTAACTGTCTTAAATACCACAGTTTCGTTCTCAGATGTTACTTTTGACACCAAAGCTCTCATTCTCAGTGGGAATAATAAATTTTAAATATGTCCCCAATCAGACTGATTATCTATTTTTCTTTAAATTATACATAAAAAATTTTCATGGTATCAAGTTGCATTAAAATTATAAAACGAAAGGTAAAAAACGAATGTCAATCTTAAAGGGGGAAAACAATTGCGAATCTCCTTAAAAAACCACTATACTTTCTAATTCTGATATTTCCATTAATTGTGATTAACTTTATCCATTCTCTTTGTCTTCTTTTGATCATCAGGTCTAAATTTCTATAGAAAGTCACGTAGTGTTATTGACAAAATAAATATAGAATTGAAAAAGAAGACAAAACAATGGGAAATGGAAATGGTTCAATCAATATGTAATGGGCTTTATGATTTGACATAAATATCTATCAGCTATCAGTCATTATACCACGTTAATTTATTTACAAGACCTTAAATAGCCAAATATAAGCACATTTTGTTCACCATTTATGATCAGTGATTCAAAATGGTATTATAAAGTTTAACGTTAACGTCTGATTCGCTATAATTTTATACCTTATTGATACAAGAATAAGTTAAGCCCTACATTTTTTTTTATATTGTTACTTCCTCAGACAGGGAACATTTATTGTTTCAGGAAGAAAAAAATGGAAATATTGATATACATGTATTATAAACTTTTTTTTCTAAAAATCGGTAGCAAGATATCCGCCACGTTGTAGTTTTGGTTAAGCGCGAATGAGTAGTTGTGGCAAAGACGGGTCAGAAAGGGTTATTTTAGAAATCAAACCCTTACCCTACTCTGAAATATCTTGATAAATGATTTCACTCGTAAATGACGCATTATTTCATTACAACCTGTTCCTCATATCTCAATTAATGTGTTTCGGATGATCTCAATAATGAAGCCATTATCTGAACTGGAACACATGTGTTCCCTTGACATTGGTGGAAAATTAGTAGTAGATTTCGTTCGTATCTTGTTCTTCTTCTCAAACTGTTAAAGTGGACTTCTCCTCTGCATATGCCTACAGAAGATGGGCAAGGTCATTGCGGGAAGTTATGACCACGTTATAAGCAAGGCGATTACCTTAGTTAATCCAATTAAGATTGAATTGGTGACATATTTTTATCAATACGAGAAGCCTTCAGCTTACTTTTTCTTTAATTTGAGCTATGATTCGCACAAAATTAAGTTTAAGATGCCAGCAAGTTTTTTATCAAGGACTTACTGTCAAGAAATGACGTCATATATACAGAGATCCTCGCCCTGCTGTTGCATCAATAAGAACTTACGACTAATCGACGACGTAGGTAAAACAACTATGATTTGATGTAGATTTTCAATTGTTAACATACCAAGTGTACACATCGACACATTTTTGCGAGGATACCAATGGACAGTGCACGTTCATTGAATTCATAAGCTTAAGAATAGTCTGTTGTTTTGTACTTATGTCACGCGTTAGTTTTTTTAAAAGATGATTTCGATAGGTACATTCCAGTTTGATCTTCCCGCATTATCAGTTTCGACCTACCTGTGATCATTATTTTCTCCATGGGACAGCAATTTATGATTTAGACTTTATAAATTTGCGACTTATGACTAATGATTGACAAACTTATAACATTTGAAAATTAAGCTACCATGAGAATAATTCCTAGACTCAGTGAAAAAGATATCAGTGAAAATAATGAAATTACCATTATTGGCGAGATCGACAAAAAGCTCATTTGACACTTTTTTTAAAGGTCAAACTTGTACAACCTCATTTGATACGTTAAATTTCTTATTGCCATGTTACACAAATATTCGGGTTATTATCAAATAACTAAAAATTTTCTTGTATTTATCATTAAACAAACACTTTACAGACTTTAGGTGCTCTCACAACATAGTGTTTACCAGTTGCGAATAGTTGCAAGAGAAATGCGTTCGAAACTTCTGACAACTATTCTTATAGATATTACAAATGCAACTGTGAGGGTCATTTTTGACAGAAGAAATTATAAATGTCTCAACTTCGGGATTTTAGTCTATAGGACTACATATATTTCGTAAAATCTTTCAAGAAATACCGTTGCATGTCTCAAAACATCTGCATCTTATGCAATCAATAGAACATGCTAACAAAACAGTCAGTATTTAAAGACTAAAAAGAAAGCTTCTTATTTCATTAATTAATTATATGCACTTAAAACAAAAGGTAAATTTGGTTTGCTGGTTGTTTAAAATTTAAATTCCATACATAGCAATAGATAGTATGTTTCTTATCTTCATAATGTTCTGTTCAGATATGTTCAGATGCAACAAAGTAATTAGATTCACTAATAATAAGATAAATGCTTTCCCTTTTCATCTATTATCATTCAGTTATTTTAATGATGAATTAAGCAGACTTAAACATTCAATTAGTTCACATCTGTCTAAATGGGATACACATCTTCAAAATGGTCATTGCCTTGTCGACTATTTGCTCTCGTAAAGAATAAAAACGAGTAGTACGAAACTAAACTCCGCCCTCGCACGCTCTCAACCTCGGGCGTAAGGTATAGGTAGTTTTCTATTGGTCGATATCAAAATTCAATGTATGATGAAGGCGGGGCTATAATGAATGGTATTGTAGATTTTAGAAATAAACATTAAAGTAAAAGCTATGTAGTGTATATTGTTTGAAGAGATCAGTAAAAGGACTATGTTAGACACGAGAGAAGTTTTTGATAGCAGAAAAGGTGCGCCTATTTAGTAGAACATATCACTGATTGTTACAGCCATGCTTGACAACACGTTTTCTTATTAGTCGTTCACAATTTGTCAGTAGTCTGCACAATACTACAGAAAAGCTTAAATGTAAATAAACTCGTATTTTCTTCTTTTTACAGAATTTCGTTGATTAGTCAGTCGTCGTCAAGGTATTTACTACTACAGGTGTAATAAAAGTGAAGGAGGAGTGATGAACTCTGGAGAAATTTGTGAGAACCATTAGAAATAGTGTTGAGATGGCGAAAAGATATGTGGTATTGTGTTTCACCTTTGCTTTTCTTTGGACAGTATGCCTGGCAGAAGTAACATTCCGAGTGGATGAAGAGAAACCGAATGGAACATTTGTTGGAAATATTTCGGATTCTTCGGATCTTCAGACGTTGTTATCTGACGAAGTCCTTGGGTCCTTGAAATACAGTTTCTTGGTGCAGGGATATCCTCACAGTGCCTTGTTTATTATAGTGAATAATACCGGAATAATCTATACGTCGAAGGTCTTGGATCGGGAAACTCTTTGTGGATTTTCGGACTCTTGTGATCTGAATCTGGAGGTAGCCGTTCAATCAACCATTAGTCAGTTTTTTAGGAAAGAGAAAGTAAATGTTATCTTGAATGACGTGAATGATAACAAACCGGAATATAGCAGTTCATCTGTGCAGGTAGAAATATCCGAATCCGTCTCCGTGAATTCTTCGTATCAACTTGAAGCCGCTGTGGACAGAGACATTGGGAACAACTCTCTTAAAGGATATAGACTTATATCAGATTCAGATGTCTTCGGTTTAAAAACAGTACAAACATTAGACGGTGGATCAGTTGTCAGTTTAGTGGTCATTAAGCTCCTTGACCATGAAAAACGGGACAGATATAACGTTACTGTGATTGCCCACGATGGTGGCTCGCCACCCATGAGCAGTTCACTCCTGGTAAACATCAAAATCATAGATGTCAACGATAACTCGCCGGTTTTCTCGTCCCCTGCATACAACATTAGTGTTAACGAAATCAGTGCCATCGATTCAGTAGTTGTCACGTTATCTGCCACTGATGCCGACACTTCAGCTAATGGTGTAGCTTTGTATCGTTTCAGTCCCTTACTGAGAGGTGACATAACTAAGTACTTCAGTATCAATTCAACCAACGGTGATGTAACTGTTAGATCTCCATTAGATCTGGTACAGGGAAAAACTATGAAGGGGGTAGTGGAATGTATCGACCATGGTTCCCCACCGCTCATCGCACAAACATTACTAACAATAAACATTGCTGACACCACAAATGATCGTCCAAGCATAAATCTCAACTTACTCGCTGATGGAAAAGTTTCGGAATATGCTCAGCCCGGTACCACAGTTGCACACGTAGCAGTATTGGATCCGGATACAGGACGTAACGGAATTGTTCGTTGTTTACTGCAAAGTAAGGTATTTGAGCTGCAAGGGTTAGATGTTGATGAGTATAAGATTATTGTAGCTAGGGGAATTGATCGAGAGACCGATTCATCATTTGATGTGACATTAACTTGTGTGGACGCTGGAGAGCCTCCATTGAATAGGTCTGTCAGTTTCAATGTTCAGGTTAAGGACGAGAACGACAACAATCCACTATTTTCAAAAAGTATATACCGTGGTAACATTACGGAAAATAACATGATAGGGGATGTCGTTCTTAAAGTATCGGCTTCGGACATAGATACTGGGTTGAATGGCAAGATTAAGTTTTCTTCTCCCGAAGGTGATAAATTAGGCGTAACTGTCAACAATAATGGTCAAATAATCGCCAAAAGGAAATTCGACCGAGAACGAGACCTGAAACTTACATTTAAAGTCTTTGCTTCGGACAATGGTTCACCTCAAAGAAATTCGACCGCGACTGTCCAAATAAACATTCTTGATGTAAACGATGTATCGCCGACATTTACGACATCGACCTACGTTTTTGAAATACTTGAAAATAAAGCCTCTAATTCCCTTGTGGACATTGTGAAAGCTGACGATGGTGACATAGGGGTCAATGGTGAGATTCGATATTCCATATTTCGCGACGATGATAATGAAAATCTCCTCCCTTTTGTTATTAATTCCAAAGGTGAAATTCGCACGTCGAAGCGTTTAGATAGGGAACAAAAACGCAGATATGAATTTGTGGTTGTGGCGACGGACGGAGGTGAACCTTCTCTGCATGGGTCAGCTACAGTAATTATAGATGTTAAAGATGCAAATGATAATAAGCCTATCATTATAGCACCTAGTGGGTTAAATAACTCAGTGTCACTGCCATATACTACCCCAGAAAACACCTTATTAGTCGCAGTATCTGCAAGAGATGCTGATTTTGAAGACAATGGTGACGTTTCCTATCTGTTCGCCCCAGGAACCCCCGGACAAAACGTATTTCAAATTGGAAGCCGAAACGGATTATTGAAAACAAAACGAGAACTTAAAATAGAAGATGTTGGATCATATAATTTAGTCGTGCTTGCAACTGATGGTGGAGTTCCTCCGTTGGTAGCGAACGTATCCATTGAAGTTGTAGTCTTTTCTTCCAATGAAACAATGACAGCATCTCAATCCGAGGAAAATGCATTAGTGGTCATCATCTTAGGAACATTAACAGGTGTTATTACTGTGGCAGTCATTATAACAATTGTTATCATTCGACGTATGGATAACAAAAAGAAGCACGAACAAGAGGTTAACCATTCCATTAATAATTCCAACAGACACAGTTCTGATGATATCCTGAAACTAGGTGGCTCTACATACTTGTCTAAAAATGGCGACCTCTCGTTTGACTCCACTCACAGCAACACCAGTGTGAATGGCTCTAATGATAGCCAAGACAAACTTTTGAAAGAGAAGAAACCTGAAATAGAGGTAAGAGAAGCATTTTTATACTTTTTGTTCAGACGAAAGAGAAAGGCATTTTGACTCTGCGGTTATGTATTTGCAACTATACTTTTATGTCGCTTTTATTCATATGTATTGGTGTTTTTCTACCATTACGTTCATTTGAAGTCGATAGCAGTTAACTTGATGACTGTACTTATGTAAAATAATGACATATGTTGAAGATTACCACTTGAATTTAAATCATGGAAAAGCATAAAATTGGGGAAGTGAAGGGTTTTAAGTTGTAAAAATTGTTCGTTAAAATCGAGAAAAGATTATCATCTGCATGTACGTGGATTAACAAAATCCCGGTCATCATGAGGGATTATTAATACAATGATAAGTATCACTTATTCACGCGATCTTTAATCATCGCGAAGGGGGTTAACCAGGGGTAAACAATTACGCCTTGATCTTTCCCGCTTGTAATCAACACCCTTCATATTATTGGCTAATCCCTACAGAGCATCACCCCGTGGGCACTTTTTGATGAAATCCGGACGAATTCGCCGATGTTGATCTTAGTTTGGCCTATTTGTAGTCTTAGTTCTCAATTCTTTACCGCAACAATACAAATTAAACCGTCTCGCACCTGGATATTTAATTTTGACCTACTATTTGTTGTTGTTTAATTATCGATGTTTTTCAATCTTTTTGAATTTTGTTTTTTCTTTGTTTTAAAGAAGTAATTACCTACATGGGGTACATAAAAAAACAACCAATGATTTCTTTAAATTAACCCTTTGTGTTTCAAATTTTGTTTCTTCCTCGACTTATTATATTTGATTTGATTTAATTTGTTTGTCTATTTCTGTTCAATTCAGCTTTAGATGATTCCAAACTTTTTGAAATTTATGTGGTTTATCAAAAACAAAAACAAAACTGATGCTAGTTTGAACATTTAAATATAAGCCCAGTAAAAGCTGAAAATTACATGGCATAAAAGAAAATTTACAATACAATAACATAATATGAAGAAGCATTTCGCCAAAACAACAGGCTACTTGTCAAACTGTTCATTTTGAAGCTGAGACGTAAATTTATGGTGTTAATCACTTTTGCTTCTCTAAAAATAATCACCTATTTCAGAAAAGAAACGCGATCCTATCTAAAGTTCAAACGCTGTTAGTTCGGCAAGTAAAAACTCATTTCAAAGGCAATTTGTTTACTTTCGTTTTGTAATATTATATTTCGCTTTAAGAAAACCCAGACTTTTACTAGAAAATCTGTGATTATCACAAAAGTAAATATTAACTTAAAAGAGTAAAAGAACATATTTGAGTGAAATACTATCATATAGACAACTACATAACTGTCACCGTGTCACCTTAATCCAATGATAACTGGATTAGAAGATTAAAGGTTTAAAATCGATAGGAAAAAAGAACCACAGTATTTTGTAGTTTTAACATTCATAATTTTTAGTTAGGAAACATCTTTTAGGTGTGGACACCTTGCGTTTGGTATTTTATTGATCTTTCGAGAATGCGATAGAAATGCATATGTTTTAGATGATTAACTTCATTAAGATTTTTACTTGAAAGCATTGCCTCTGCCTTCGATAGTGTCCACTGAAACTGTTCAAATCCACTGCATAAAGCTTTGCTCGATCCTGACGGACTAGTTCATGCATCTTCTGTATGATAAACTTGCTTTTGATCGAGATAAAAACCCAATCAAAAGAGAGGACATAATTATATTAAAGCTCCAATATTGTTAAGTCCCGAATTATTCTAAAAAGTATATTTTCATAAATTATGTTTTCAAAGATGGAATGTTATACAAAATAAAATAATCTTATTGAAATTTCTACTTTATGAGGGATTAGAAAGACTTCAGTATATGCTTAGCATAAATTTGTTTCATCAAAGGCAACCGCCGTGTAAAATTATGTAAATTCCTTCATTATTACATATGTAAATTATATTATTTATACTCGGGAATGGTCAAATATACGTGAAATGCAATTGGTTTGCTTATATTCATTTATGTTCAAGTTTGTGTAAACATTTTTAGCAATAATTAATGTTTCGTTTCCTTCAATAAACAACTCCTTAAGGAATCTACGATTTTCAGATAGCCTTAATATAAAAAGCATTTGCATATTTATTAGGATTATATGAAGTGGTATTGACGGACAATGAATGGAACACGGGTGTCTATACAACTATATTATATTATATACAAGATAGAAAGAATAAAACCTGATGGTATTAACCTACAATTCGATATTAGACTATGCTTGTAATCCCCATCCAATCCTTATTGTTATGTTAATAACAAAAAATCGTACGAAACGAACACTGGTATTATTTGTTGAACCCGTGTCTAGACCAGGGTTTTATTAACTTGAAAAATTGTAATAATTTGAAGGGGAACTATATCAATTTCCGATATTTCTGGTAGAAACGTGCCTAAATTGCAATATTAATGTTCACTCATTCAGAAAGTGTGGCTATGTATTGACATTTACTTTACACCTAATAAAACTATTGTTTATAAGATTAATATTTGATTTCCCAAAATTTATTTGATTTTTTCTTCCACATCATGTACAGATAAGCTTATAAAATGTGAATTATTGTCATAATTCCCTTCCAAAATGACGTTTCTTGTTGGATCGATTAATAAAAATTCATTTGGCCAAGGAAGAGAGATTTTTACACAACAATGAAGTCGATCAACTTGTAAATAAGATATCAATTCATTGCCAAGAACATGTCAGAGTTTGGTGAGACATGAAGAACACAACTATATTTCTAACTTGCTGTAGGGTATTTGAAATACCAATGATGTTCACATTATTTAGCAAAAACAACCAACAGCTTATTCAAATGTTTTTCATAATACTTGGTATAAATGACATACGTTCTTAATCAAAGCTTTGTTCTCGAGATATTGATTGTTGGTTGAATTTCAAAAAGTGTTCAAAAGACGCCGACCCTGCTCTGAACCTCTCATCAAACAATAAGTCTTGTATATCATTACTCAATGGGGCTCTTGAAATCCATTACAAAGCTCAACATGGGACTTGCTCCTTCATAAAGTAGGTCCTTTAATTGACAAATGACCGTTTTCACTACCCTTACAAATTAATCATTTAAAGAGGGCGTTGCGTAAGGCCCCCAAATCAACGGGGTTACGTTCGCAGTAGTGATTCGGATTAATGCCACTGTTATGTAGGTTCGATTGAGCGAAAATTGGAGCGGAAAGTATCGTTTAAATGTCCATTTGGTGTCCGTATCATTTTGATCCGTTCATTGTTAGAACCACAGTAGGGAAACTGTAACCGGCGCCGAAAATAATCATTATCTTCTCATTAGGGGTAGAAATATCATAGAAAAGGGGCATGGGAGGTTTTGTTACCTCTTTTAGATGATGTATGACCATGTGTTGTTTAATACAATAGGTATTAATGTCGGTTAGAGTTGTAAGGGCTAACTGTTATTGTCAAAAGGAACACATGTCTCAGAAGTTAGAAGTTACCTGGTGACTTTGTGATTGCTATCAGCTCTGAAGACTCCCTCAAATTACTGACCCGAACTAACACACGTCATATCCAAATGCGTTCGATCGGCATATGTTGTTGTCATGCGAGTAACGAACGATGTAGCTATAAAAGGAACTAGGTACAACAAAGTTTTGGTTTCCAGAATCTTCAAGATGCACAATTTTAGAATCTGGTCTGATACGAATTCTAACCTACCACTTAACTCGTCAGTACACTGTCTCAAAAGAATATCTGTGACATCTTTGAGAATGTGATACAAAGACTTTCTATTCTTCACCAGTTTAATGGGGGTCAAATTCACCTGCTCGAGTGACCAAGGCTGCAATCAACTAGCACATTAATGTGTAACTCGACACTAGTTTCGTTTTATCAGTTAGATTAATCTTCCACAATTTATGCTCGTTTCAAAAACGCCCCTGTCACTTTTTAATGAATTTTAAGGAGCGATAAAAAGCACACTCCTTTTCTCAAATTGTATTTTGAATCGAATTTGACGGCGATTGAGATCTTAAATCAAGGAGACAACAACGATAAGAAAATAGTGTTTAAAACTGTTGTAAGAAGACAGACAAAGGGACTGAACAAAGTTTGAAAATTTATTGCCAAAAAAGTTCATTTATTGCATTTTTGATATTCACAGGATTCTGAAAGTTCAACAAGCGTTTACTAAACAAACACAATCAAAGCTGACAATCTGAATCAATTGAGCATAACATTTCAAGACATTTTTGACAGGAATTTAATAAACGTTTAAACGAATTGAGTTGTTTTCAAATGATACCATCATAGACCAATAATCTGTCAAATTTCACATTATCACTGAAATTTAGTTATTTTGATATAAAATACCAATATTGCAATTTTGTCTCTCAAATAACTGTACCTACCCTTTAAGGGCCTAAGATAAATCCTAGAAACAGGAAGAATGTTAATGCTTATTGAAGCAGACATGAGGTACAATCGCAAAGTAGAATCAAGTGCATTTAAAGGGCTGCTGTGGAACAAGTCAGTAACTAAATAAATATTTAATCCAAAGTTTTATTTTATTATTAACATTCTTCGAATTATTGTGTAATATTTGCCTTTACAATGGTTATATTGGTATATTATGTTTGTTCGGGACTACGTTCAAATTAATTTACACCAATTTTATCGAGTCAATGCGTCAAACTGTTGTTTGTACAGGTGTAATAAGATTACATACTGTCTTTTATAAATTGTAACTGGTTAATGGTGGACATACGAAACATTCAACTTTCATCCCGTTCATTATTGATTAATTGCCTAAACTCAAAGTGTGAATTCAGACTTTGGGGAAAGAGAGAGAAACGTTAGCGATCTCGTGAGCAAAAAATATAACCCGAACACAAATTGCAACCATACGAAGAAGACAGGCAACGTCGTGCATGGTGTAGCGAGAGTACATATCTTTAACTGCCAAGAGATCTTTAACGTACACGGCCCCACGGTTACATCTGAACGACTCATATAAGGCCCTCTGTACGTAACCGTTGAAAGGGGAAACCGTATTCGAAACCCTGATCTTTCATTAGTGAATAAGCGTCTAACTAATTGTGCCAACAAATACCGTAAAGTATGTTCTAATAGACCTCCAAGTATTTCATATTTACATTTCTTTCATTGACAAGTATTTTTTTCAATAAATATTATATGTATGATATTGGCCAATATAATTTACTTCAGATCTTAATAGTAATAAAAAGAACACCATATGTGTCAACCTGTGTATAAAAGCAATAAAACATATTTTTTGTATGAAAAATAAGGCCAAGTATGTTGTAGAGTTGAGTTATAATAATAAGTTATGATTTAGGAACTAAGAATGTAATTTAAACTCATGTTAAATACGTTATTGATTGTTTTGATCATATATTATATCCAACCTTCACAATTATATATTTTAGTGTGTGCTTATGTACTGTGCATAGATTTGAATGGTCAATGCAAAAATTTATTTCAAAGCATTTAAGCCTGTAATCAACAAATCAGTTTTCTATGAACTGCATATCATATCGTATCGTATCGTATCGTATCGTATCGTATCATCATGGGAAATGTAAGAGGAAATTGAATACTTTAATATCAAAATTTTACATAAAACCATTCGAATATCTCGGACATGCTTCCGAATTAAAGTCATAAATCTTATCTTTATTAAGATTAAGGAAAGTTTGGGCCTTTGAAAACATATTTTTATAAGTGATTTGTGTGAACTGACCGTAAATTCTTTATTTAGAATTTTTATGATTATTATAAAGAATTATCTTAATGCGATCAAAATTCTTCATAAAATTATAATGGGTAATAATAAAATGATCACACATTTCAATGATTTTGTACTAAATGGCTTTATTTTGATAAATCGAGCGATGAAGAAAAACACCCATTGAAAGGGTTAACGTACTGCTAAAATTTCTACATACGTTACAATAATTTAAATGAATTTATTTCTCGTCATTATCAAAAGTTGTAAACAATAAACTAATCTTAAATTTAATCACAAAAATCCCATTTCTATGCGGGATCATCATTATTTGTAATTGGGTGTTCTTGCATACATGTCTATATTCCCAAGATAAACTTGATAAATTCTATATAAAATTCACGTCGTCTACTCTTCTTCTTTCAGGATAGTTCAAGACAACTTTCGTCAATTTCTGGTGGGAAATTAGTATCGTTTGGTCCAAATGAAGAATGGCCAACAGCTGTCAAATTACACAAAGATTTATTGAAATTACATCACATCGAATTCAAAGTAAGTTTATATTTCCTATTTTAAGTAAGCATGATGGGAGCAGGATATCCAAAAGCTCGAGATAAGTGTTAGAAATCCCTCTTCCTTGGAAGCATGTTATTGATGTCCAGTACCTGATGTTGTCTTGACTAATTTTTGACAATGTTGAACTGCATTCTTAAACTTGCCTTAATAGAGACAAATACGGAAAAGATCTTGTATATATCATTCGCGGATTGCCGACTGATAGTCTTTCATTTGCTATGCAGCCTACAATTATGGCTTTCAGACACTTGGTACATTTTGTACGTATTATTGTTTAGCTTGCAACGGCTAAGTGTTGGTAGTAAGACGCATTGTTTTGGGTTTGCTCGTAGTGTTGAAGGTTTGCATACGTATTTAAAGCAAGAAATGTAGTATGTTTTGTATTTGTGTATATTGCATGGCGTTACATAGTGTTGATATGGGTTTGGTTTTGTTATTGGAACTTTCTTTATTTTCACATGTTTATGAAGTTGAATCTATTGCATTCGATTTCGTAAGTATATTATGTTTCAATGATACAGACACAGTATCAAATACTAAGAGAATCCAAGATCTATTACAAAGGGTGTGAATGTTTAGTGTAATAAACTCATAACATAACTTAAACAATATACGGTATGCTTAATATGTCTCTAATGTAATAGAATATCCTTCATAGCCAACTGCTAACAAGGCCGCCATATTGAAAACGAGTGTCGACCCCTGGCGTCTGACATAATCCGACATAACTATGAAATCATAAACATAAATGAGAAAACCTTTCTCAGTATGACTGTTGCTTACATCTTAACGTTTGTCTACATTCCGTGAAGATCATATACTCTCTGTAGGTTATTTAATAAAGATATCTGTTCCGTGTGAACCTCCTTTATATTTTGAACTTGGCATGAGACCTTGTTTTGAAAACAATTCCTGTGTAATATGCGATAATGAGATCCTTGATCTTCTGGAGTGTTGACCTTACTTCTTATGGGAGGAAGAGTTGTAATGAATTTTAGTAGGTAGTTTGTGAATTCATGAAACACTGACATTTTGATTTTGATACATAAGATAGACTTTATTTTACTTAAATTCATTTTTATATGCATTTACACTGTGTCCTAACTCAGAATAAGTTGACCTCGGATTTATTCTGAGCTTAACTAACTTAAGTATTAAGCCGTGTGTAACTAGCGAGTTCTTATACCTTATATTGTTTATTTGGTATATCAGTAGGCCTATTTTTCTTTGTGAATTTATGAATGCTGCAGCAATATATATATATATTTATACTCAGTTACATGTTCAGAAAAACTAATTGTATTGTTGTCTTTCAGGAATCGGATCTTAGTGTTAAACGAGCTGACGATACCAACAGTGATTCATCAGGGGAAATTACTGGAACAGATAGTGGTAGAGGTGGAAGTGAGGAAGATAGTCATAGTAACGGTAGAGCTTCACCACCTGTTCCACCTGCAATACCTAAAAGAGGTAAGAAAGCTCCACAAATATTACAGTTGTACTGTAATTTTTTTTGGAGGGGCGGGGGTATAAATATATACCCGTACAAGCAAATCAATTCCGTACATCAAAATATCGTCCAAAGCAGTGCAAAATCGAGAGTAAAAGTTGATCAATGGCAGGCCCATAGGTACAGGGGACAAAGGGAGGGGGGATATGGCAACCGACCAATTCCATTACTGCAACTGAAGAACATACTCCATCGCCCCACCAGATACAGTACTTGCCCTTCCAAAAAATTAAGTCTGACTGCGGACCTGAGTAGTGGACTCCTCTTAAGAAGTACCGCCAGGTGTTTCGAAAAGAGTTATCTTTATCATTAGATAAAAACATAAAAAAAATTCCAACAGCAACACGCGGAATCTTGTCTGTGACCGACTATTGACTATAATTCTATGTTCAATATTAAATAGATCGTCTTTGATAGGTGATAGATTGAGAGACCTGCCAGTATTGACTGTTAAAGTATAACATATCTGATTTATATTTCAGCACCGCGAACAAAGTTTAAACCGAAGCCACCAACTTATCCAGAACATATAGAAAATCATAAGAAGCATTCCACATCAAGTGACATTTCATCACTCGGGAGAGACGATTCTAATTATAATCTTAAAAATGTGTCCTTTGACTCTACAGTGCCTAAAAGACCTCCAATAAAAAAACATGTTTCTTTTCAAAGTGATTTTTGTCTAAACAATACCCCAAGGTCGGGTGATTATACAAGGGACCAATCAGTTTTTCCGAAATATCCATCATTAGGATATTCGGCGGGAAACATTAACGACCGCCATTTTGACATTGATGACGATGATAATACCACTACGACTTCCGGAAGTTATATGGTGGATTTCGACAATGAAAGTACTGATTATGTACATTCAAGAATGAGAGATGTTGTTGTATAATGGAGCATTATAATATTCGGTTGTTTTATTAATGAATATTGTTACATTTTTAAAAAATCGTATAGTTTTTTGATCATTAAATCCAAAGCGAAATAATGTTCAAAATTATGTTATTTTTTCGATTTACAAAGCAAAAACTTGTATTATATTTGTTATGGATTAATAGTTTATTTTCGACTTGTCGAAAATGGCGTGCATTAGAAGGGCAATACACACATAAAACATCGAAATACCATGCCACATGGATAACTTTTAAAGAAGCCGTATTACGTTTCTAGGGGCTTTGTCGTAATTCGGAATATTGTGCATGTTTAATAACTTCAAAAGGAGTTTAATTCAATACAGAATTTGGTGCGTCCACATTCAAGTTACAAGGCTACATCGTGCAACTTGTTACTATAATCTGGGCATTGCCAACGTATTATGTCTGATTTTGGTATGGTATTTTGACATTGATCACGGGTGCTATTGTGGTGTTGCCCTGCTAGGAATTGTATGCATTTTCACATATAAGTATTAGCATTAAATGCAAACTAATTAACAATTTTGTTTTATATAATAATTAAAATCAAACTATTGTAAATAGTATTATATTTTCTTAGTTTATTAAATGTAATTAATAAACGGATCAAGTATACATAATGTTTATTTCTAAAGTTGTACAGTATATGGGGTAATCATGTAAAGCTGTATTTGTGTAGGCTCTGAAAGAAGAGTTACATTTGTATTACCGTGATACATTTAGCCCTTCCCGTTCTTCAAATAGATATACAGATTGAATGATCAGCCCATTTAGGACCAGACATAAAAGTCCATCAAGACATTACCGGATGGCCCTGTGTCAAACACTGTACCAAAATCTATCAATCCAAAAATCGAATATAATAAGGGGTCAGATATATCGAGCTACATTTGTACCTTCATGGGGTAAACCAGATCAGAGCTAAATTTCTTAATGAAACAACTATCCGATCCCTACTGTTATGGAATAATTCAGATGTACGTTATGTTTTAGTCTCTTTTGATGGAGAGGAAACCATACAGTCTCTGGAATAATTCAGATGGAGCTAAATTTGTACAATCCCTGGGGTTATTCAGATGGAGCTAAATTTGTACAATCCTGGGCTTATTCAGATGAGAGCTAAATTTGTACAACCCCGGGGTTATTCAGATGGAGCTAAATTTGTACAATCCTGGACTTATTCAGATGAGAGCTAAAATTTGTACAATCCAAGGGTTATTCAGATGGAGCTAAATTTGTACAATCCTGGGGTTATTCAGATGGAGCTAAATCTGTACAATCCTGGGGTTATTCAGATGGTGCTAAAGTTGTACAACCCCGGGGTTATTTAGATGAAGCTAAATCTGTACAATCCTGGAGTTATTCAGATGAAGCTATGGTTTTGAGAGGCAATAGTGATATAGTGCACCGTTTCAGCCATATTCATAAAGTATACATTTTGTCATAACAGGATTATGTTCACGCGCTTCAGCATTTTCGTCAAGTGATCTAGTTCTTCTACACAGAGGCACCGAATCGATAGGATGCCTTTTACAAGCTCGACTAGTTGATAAAAGAAATCAACACAAATTAATAATGATTTACCATATTTCCTGTATTAATAGCCACATAATGAGATAACTGATACCATGTCACAATGTACACCTTACAACTGCCAATCAAAGACCATGATTTGTCACCACGTAAACAGGCAAACAAAAGACAAAACGTAACCAGGCATGAAATCTCTTCTGGCCAATCGCAGACGTCATCTAGAGTTTTGTCTCGTTTGTGAATAGTTTTAGTTAACGATTTGTATTGTAATCCATCCCACTGGAAGTAATAGAAATTTTCTACAAATCATTCGAAATTAATCAGAAAAGTATGACACGCTCATCCAGTCATGCATCTGGTTGTTTCAATTAGTGTCGTGTGATCGAGACTATATTTTGAAAACGAATTTCACTTGAAACTCGTTTTCACCCAATTAAGTTGAAAAGATGATACATATAGGGAGAGCTCGCCGTCTACCACATGACATGCTCAGTATATGCCGATCCACTTTAGGTTTCAAGGTGGTCACCAAATCAAATAGTTTGACAGTGGCGACATCGGATATTCAGTGTGTTAAATGTGGCGGAAATATTCGCAGAAACAGCCGAGATTGACATTGACAACGTAATCAAATTATGTTAAGATTGTTTTATTGTTTCGATAAAACCTAAAATTACATTATTGTTAAAAATGTCACAATAGTCAATCATATTTTCCCTCCTCTTGTCAATATTGGGATAGAAAAACAATACAACTGACACTTGTTAATTCATCGTCGTCATTTTGAATTTGGAAACACCATAATTTGGCTCCAAATGAACGACCATTCACCCAAGAAGTGGTATGAATTGAAATTGAATTAATTTTTTCAAGTTCGATTCTTGTGCTCTTGATTTGACTTATTATAGCTGTTGTATTTAATCCTAAATACTATCAAATTGCACTGATGTTATACAATGACATCCACCAGTGCTATGAAATATGTACAATAATGTTTGTTTTCCCCAAATTATATTCCCAAAAATTTGGCCCAAGTCAAGAGCAACCCACTGAGATAAGATACAATACAGTTCACCGAACGTAACGTATTACATTAATTTATTACTCACTTCGATTAAAAAGTCAAAGATGCAGAACACTTTACTACTGTCGTAAAAGGACATTAAATTTATTTTCAATAAATTACGCGACATTATATTGCACTTTTGGTAGGCTCCATTCATATGAAATGATCCACTACGGAAGTTTTACGGCTAGGTTTTACTACATTTTTTTATTCAAGGGAAACAACCAGAGTACTAATCCTTCCATGCTGCGGTAACTTGTAACGCTTGATTTCAGCCTCATTACGTCGAAATATGAAATCCACACGCTTTAGTTGTTTGCAATTTGGTGTTTTGACTTATTCTTCTTTATGTACATTATGTAAGGAATACAAAGTAATATGTCAGGGAAGGCATTGAAAGATATTCATGTTGCATGAACATTTGTCGGCATCCACAACTAGATTACGATCAACAGACCAGTAAATGAGACTTTTTCACGTCTTTTTTCAGTCTTTACTTACATTCTTGTGCATTCGTACGAAACATCTCTAGACAAACCAGGCACCCCCTAGCGGCCGTGTAAACTATGGTTTACTCATTATCCAAGCATAGTTTACGACGTTATACTGATGAAAAATGAGGAATTGATGATAAGACAAATTACGGTGGTAAATATAAATTGTTATATAGCCTTAATGCCAGATTGATAGATCTTCAATTAATCTGTCCTCGGGGAGCCAATATAGTGGTGTGAAAAAGTATTCTATATCATATTTCATAGAAGAAACGAATGATACCGATACAAAGAAAGTAACCTATTCCTTAACATCTAAATACAGTCAACCACCAAAGCCCAAAATTTTAAAGCCGAGGTTTACATTCTTACAATGTTCACAGTGTACCATGTCAAATGACTTATAGTACATCCTGCCTTGCACACAATACCACTACATTTGACAAGCTACTGACTACTCAGACAATCTCAATAATGTAATCCTGTAAATAGGTATTGTCCAATTGACCACTAAAGCGAAGGTCTTGGTGGTATTCGGATACCTAGGAAATTGAAGACTACTTCAGAGCCGCTACCTGCAGAGCTATTTTATTTCTGATTGAATATGCGTAGAGCGTAATACCTCAACTTTTTCTAATCAAACATTGCAAAATTTAAACAAATTTCAATTTCAATACACCGTAAAATACATAAATACCTCTGCTGCACTCGCCAAAATTCACTACGATCTTATAGGTAGCGGAACATTTTCTAGATAACAGTTATCTTCGAACGACCTTAACAATCCAGTTGAAAAGATGTATCACTGGCAAATTCAAGATAGATGATAGGCATAGAGTTTTTGTCTGTATTATTAAAAGCGTCCATTGGCATTATCAAAACGACACAATGGCAATGACATCTAAAATATTGGATGAACATTAAAAACTCCTAATGTGATCCTCACACCCTAGCGATCACCAGTTGCGTGTGGCTGCGAATAAGAATAGCGATCATAAATAAAAAATCAAAAATGGGAACCTTAATGAAATAATCCGATTCAAAAGGTATCTGATAATAAACTAATTTTAAAAATGGTTATAAACATGGCGATGGTTAATATAAACCAATTACAGTTGTTTATGTAATAAAAGTCTTCAAAGTTTATTTTCTGCTGCGAAAAGAGAGTGTGTTTCAAGTCGTCTAGAATTAATTTGAAAAATTATTAGACTTATTAGACAATTCTATGTTCGTTGAACGATCGGGAAAAAATTGTTGCTGTTACATGAAATCAATTGCGTTTGAGTCATGGCAACTTCACCCCCCTCCACAAAAAATATATATAAAAACAAAACAGCTAATAGTGACAATGAAAACATTTTTCTTTCATAAGGTCGTTGATAATGATGATTAGGTATTACTCAATAGTAAAAATCTTGCAATACAGAAAACCGAAGTATCGGATGTAAACCAAATTTAGATTAAAAACACCCTCGATAAAGAATATAGTTTTTCAGTTAGCAAAAGGCATGCATTACATACGCTACATGCTTCGACAAAATTTATATTACATAGACGATACGCCTACTTTAGTTTCCCAGTAACGATACATGACGTACTGAATGTTCTGTTTATGTTAAAAATACAACCAGGAGTTCACACAATAAAGACATGGCACTTAATACCAGACTTAAAGTGGCACTTAGCCAGATTTCAGATCTCCTGCTGATTGTGACTGATTTCTGTTTTTCTCATGCTTCCTGGCTTTTTTCATAAGTAATTGATAATAGTCAAACTTCAAAGAAGACGTGTTTTAATTGAATTATCTTCAACGTTAACCCTTAGACACACAATTTCAAAAATCATGATCTTTCTAAGGTATTGTGTTTCACCGTACTGTACAAAGGGGTTGGGCTTTTAACTATCGAATTTTTCCGTACTCACTGGCTTTTAGACGTTTATTTGAAAAAAATCGCCATCTTGTAGTTTGAGCTTTTAAAGGAAACTGTTGTCCAAATCTGCATTATTCTAAAGAATATATCACTGCATCTTTAAAATGGGAAAACAACAAAAGTTTATAACGTGAAGCTATAAAGTAATTCTGGTACCGTATGGATGTTGTAAAAGACAGTAATTATGATGAACTATCTCGTGTATTTCACACCGGCTGTAAACAAGATGGGTTTCTAATTTGACACATGCTATAAACTAGCACTGGACCTCCTTCCGATTTTCAATCTCTATACAAGAACCATACTGCTTCTTTCTATATGTTCATAAAACTTTTAACATTATAAAAGGTCTGTTTTTAAATTGTGTTTGAAAATCGTATAATCAGAATGCTTTTGAAGTAACTGGTGGAATGTGTCTTAAGAAATAACAAACGAATTTTATTGACCCATTCATACCAAAATCAGGTTGATCAAGTAGCTATAGAGTATTAAAGAGCAGATTTTAGAAAAATTTAAGTTTTTAATTATAAAATTTATCTTTCCAACGTTTTAAAACGATAGCACAAACACAAAAACAAATCCCCCTTCAA